GTAAGTGGTGATAATTTTAGTTTTTTTGTAACCTGCCCAACACAAGAATTGCCTGCAATAATTACCTGTCTCAATTTACTATAAAAGTAATCAGACAGTGCCTGTAATTATTGAGCGTCGTTTGGTGTCTTCTACTAGTCAGTTCGTTTGCCCGCTTAACGCTAAGTTCATGTGCGTTAGGGCACATACCTTTCGCATTCATACGGTACGCTGAATTCTGTTTTCCATTATGTTCTGGGATGGTTTCAACATTGTTTCTGCAAACGATATGGACACGCGATGACTTTTAAAGTCCGAAAGTAGTGAAAAGCAGATAAAAAATTTCATATTATACCAGTGTAAAGGCATCCTTTTTCGAACTAAAAAAACTTCATTTATGCTATTACGTACAGAACATTTTAATAGGATTTTGGTAGACCAGGCTGACATTTGTTCTCAGTCGCTGGGTGATCTTTCCATGTTACTTAGCGGTCTACTAGCTTGGAGCCTGATTCTCTTACGACAGAACCTGAACTTTGCACATTTATATGTGTTAGACTGCCCTAGGATGCTTTGTATTAACTGCTGAATTTGTTTCATATTCGGAACTGTCGCTAGTTCCGACACGTGACATGACTCTTGGAGCGCAGCGCGTGTGATTTTGACGTGTGTTTAACTATATAGACCTTTCCTTTCCTGGGCAAAGCGGAACTTAATTGTTCCTCTACTAGATCGACAAAGCACATATATTCATCATATTCCCAATCTCAACCGACAAAGCAAGGAGCCCGCGGTGCCGTGGTAGAGTATTGAACTCAATGACCAAAGGTCCCGGGTTCAAATCTCGAGGATTCCAACCCTTGAGATTGGGTATGACTGACTGATGGCTGCTAACAAGCCAGAAATGGCCATTCCGATCTCCCTTTGCTTTGTCGGATCCATTTCAGCTTTCCTTCTGTCCAAAATATAGGGAAATCCATTTCTCCACGTGTTGTGCCATGCATAAAAGTTAACTCGCCTGTATTAATTCCCCTGTTCACTTGAAGGCTATTCGTATCTTGGCATGCACCTTTCGGTAACGCAGTAGATTATGTTAAGGCTAGTGTAAGGAGATAAATATTGCCGGCACAGACAAAGTAGACTGATCATAGCCAATCCCAGGTGCTGCACCAGCCAAGGCCCACACACGCGACCTTTTGATCAGGATTCCAACGCTCTAATCATTAAGCC